TCAGTAATATTCAGCAATAGTCAGAAGTGCCCAATCCACACATTGATCCCTGACCGTAGGTCCACACACTGCACAATTTTTTAAAGGGCACCCTTGCTTTTCAAAAATATTCGATTAATACCAAGAAGCAGATTTAAAAAAAAATCATTTATTTTCAGTATACAGCCCCCATCCCCCTCTATGGTAAGTGGGGCCTGACCCTTGGGCCTTAAATTCTCCATTCTGGAAAATTGGGACCCTTGCTCATCATAACTATATAGGGAATGCAATTGCTTATCTGCTAATATCCAGGAGCAGAGAAAACATTTTCAGAGATTTTATGTATTTTCACTATATAATCAATAGAGGTCCACCCTTACACCAGCATCCATGACCCCGGGGCCATAAAATTCACAATTTTGGTAGAGGCACTCTTGATCATCATAACTATGCACTTAGTTAGTTTATTCAAAACTCGGGAACAGAGAAGATTTGAAAGAATTAATGTATTTACACTTTATAATTAATAGAGACCCACCCTAACACCAGAACCCCTGGGACCATAAAATTCACAATTTTGGGAGAGGCACTCTTGCTTATCATAACTATATACTTTGTTTGTTTATTTTATTCCCAAGAGCAGAGAAGACAATTTTCAAAGAATGTATTTTCATAATATTATCAATAGAGTCCCGTCCTTACACCAGAACCCCTCACCCTGGGGCCATAAAATTGAAAATTTAGGTAGAGGCACTCTTGCTTATGATAATTATGTACTTAGTTTATTTAATACCCAGGAGCAGAGAAGAAGATTTTCAAACAAATAACGCATTTTCACTATATACTCATTTCAGCCCCGCCCTAGCACTAGAACCCCTGATCCAAGGACCATCAATTTCACAATTTTTGTAGAGGACGCAACGGTCATTACATTCATGCTAACAGTTTAACTGCTTGTGTCCAGGAGTGAAGAGGGAGATTTTTAAAGATTGCACTAGTGTTAGTGGTTTTGGCCCCACCCCTCATACCCCAGGGGGCAGGGATCATGAAATTCACAATACTGTATAGGGGATTAATTTCACGGGTTGTAATTTTCACGTTTTTCTCTTCTCTGACCTCGTCGCGGTTTCTTGAATTCGCGATATTGGTATGCAAGAAAAGTTTTCTCCCTTATCTATACATATTGAAAACTTACTCACTGTTTCTTGAATTCACGGATTCATCAACACCGTGAATATAGCGAATATTAACACCGCGAGTTATTTTCCCCCTATACAGTAGTTGTTTCTCTTTACCCATACATGCTATATGCCGAATTTGGTTGAAATTGGTTTTAGTTGTTTCAGAGAAAAAGCTGAAAATGTTCAAATATTAACGCACGACGCACACCACACGACGACGGACTAAAACAGATATAGCAATAGGTCACTTTACTCAGGTGACCTAAAAATTACTAATTAATATAAAGAATCATCTTTCCTTAGTATGCAATTAGACATACTACATTGTATTTTACAAAACATACTTTTCAATTTATATAGCATTCACAATTCATTTTACGTAACTAATAATGCTATGTGACAATATACAATATAAAATATTTAAATGACGCTGTTAAGTGCATCACTCCTTTTATATCTATAAAGGAAAAAGATAATAAGGAAAAAGTTCTCTCTGTGCTCCTCGGATAATCTTCGATGACAAAGATATATTGATAACAAATAGGATTAAAGATCGAAAGTACACAAACAACAAAATAGGAGCAGAGCATAAACGGACCTCTAAAACATAAAAAGAGGGATCAGGTGCCATGGAGGAGTGAGCATCCCATGCCAACCGGTCACAACCGCCGTGTTCTCCTCTTCATGATTGGGAATTTGTAATATCGACAAAAAGAGAATATTCATTTTAATCAGAACAATTCATTTAAAAGTTTGATAATAGCGCTTTATTGCGTGGACCCTGAGGTCCACGCAGTAAATGTAAAAACTAGGTTAAACTGGATGCCATGGGCAAACGACAGGCTACGCAAGCCCGAGAATGCTTGCGAGTTTGCACCTTACGTAACTTGATCGCAGAAGAATTCACCCTATTCGAATTAAAAAAAAGCCATTCATTGGCAAATCACACTTTTAAATCTGCATATCGCATTTACATATTCATTGGTGGATCCGATTTTCTCTATTTTACATATTATTTTTTATACAAACTGAACATTGATTCTATGGTACAAGCAGTGAAAAAGTAGGAAGAACTTGCAATATATAGACAGATGTACATGAACTTAAAACTTGAATGAAAGGCATGATTCAACGACTAGTTACTGCTTTTTAAAGATAGAACAAGTTTCCAATGGCATTAATTTTGTGTATCACGGCTCCGATCATAATTTAATATGTCAGCAATCCAAATATCGTTTGATAGTAACGGTCTGTAATGGGGGGCAATTCTTCCCCTGATAGATTTCTTCCGCATCAACATAAATCCAGGACAGGTGTCAAGTCCCAGTCAGTATGAGTTACGCGTATCAAAATACACGAAGCCCGATATTTTCAACTGACAAAAATTAAAGCTACTAATCAGAGATAAAAATTTACCAATTTTACTTTGGGACTACAATCATTCATATGTAGGCAGATCATTTGTAGAAAATGTGAACAAACCAACATTGATATTCCCTACACATATTTTTTTTGTAATTGAATTTCAGTGAGAAAAACATGCATATGGCCGATGTATTGAAGTCCTTTTTTAAAGATTCCACTGAAAAGAATGAAGAACCACCTATTGCACATTTTACACCTTTGTGTTCAATTTAATGCTAGGGACCTCTCGGGAAATACACAATGTACCTCAATTTTTCACACTATGATCATTTTGTTCTTCACTCACAAAATATTACAAACTACAAAACTCTTAAAATAATGAAATATTATAGCAATGGAACAGAGTTGCTCCCTATAAAGAAATGAGTGGAGTTTGGACCATAAACGTGATAATAATTACAGTCCGAATTTCTTCTGTCATATTTATATTTCCCCTATTTTTAATTAAATTTTGCAAAAGTCTGACTAATAAAAACTTTAAATTATTTATAACCTCAGGTTACGTTTGTTACCCTCATCCTCATGCTATAAATATTATATGGGTTCAATGATCAAATTATTGAGATATACCAATTTGTTCAAGTTATAAATATACTTTAGCCTTTCAACAATCACTGATACTCGTGTAAATTAGCAAATGAAATAATTCAACAAACAATAATTTTATTAACTTACTTCACTTGTTGCGAAAATACCTTCTCTAATTTGACAAAGAGCGAGATAAAATTCTGCACCAAAATATTCCCGGCCTAAAGGTTTGGAAAAGGAAAATGGCAATTATGAGAATGCTCAGTGATGCTAAATTAGTTGTTCGAAATAAATTACAATTATCCTTATTGACCCAGAATAAGTTAAGACGCAAATTGTGTTTGAAAATATGGGTTATCCATATGAAATAAACCAAAAAAAAAAAAATAAAATAACTTGAACAAAACGTTATTCAGTCCTATGGACACAAACACTGCATACCGAGTTAACCAAACCATAAGACCTGCGCAACGTCTCAGCGCCAGTGGATTTCAAATGTACGGAAATCGCGCACAAATACCAACTCCTCTCAGACTCGTGTGAACAATTTGTAGACTTTTATGCTGATTTCTTCAACCAGCAATTGTAGCAGCAGTTTGTACAGCAGTTCTGAATCGATTGCACAGGTGTGGTAACCCCTGGATGACCAGTTTTGATCTATCATGCGTGTTCGTAACTTGTTGGAGACATACGTTTAACTGCTGCAAAGTAATTGATATACTCTTTGAATGCATTGGCAACGTCCTGGTGCGTAGCCCCAGTTATCATCATCGGTAGCCCGGTTGCGCTCATCTTTGTTAAAGCATGGCATTGCAGCATCAACATTGGTGTAAAATCTTAAAACCGCTTGGTCCGATTCTAATCTCTAAAAATATATATTTGCTTTTCTTCTTGAAAGAAAATTGTCCAGAAATTGTCTCAATTTTTGTCAAATTATATCCCCAAAGCCTTTTTTTTTAAATGATATCAAAATTCAAAAAGTAAAAAAAAATATTTTTGTTAGATCACACAAAAAATAATTCTTTGTTGATGTTGCGTGAAATCACCTTTGAAAAATTTAATTCATCGCTTACATTCATATCTCATGAACAACAAACACGAGCATTTTTTCTTCACAACATAGTACATATATAGTTGTACACGGACAATAGTTTAGCTCCTTGAAAAAAAATCTTTTAAAATACCTGATTTTCCTTTATTCTTTAAATATGCATATTAATATAAAAAATTACGATGGATAATATTCAATTAATTTCTAAATCTTTAAAGGATGTATTATAAATAAGGATTCTACTAATGGAAAAAAAATTGACTTCACAGCACATCTTAACTTCCTGTCAGGAACTACTGTATGTCAGTAAGGTTTTTGATCTGCGTTTTGCACGCTAGGATTGCTGTGATAAATATAAAATCAATCTTATAATTTATTTTTATATTTTATGTAATGAAGTACTTTTATTGTGTAAAATACACATGTGATATGCGCCTGTTTCAGATTAAGCGGCTTTAAACATGAGTTTAACAGGCGTGTTTATTATTCCCCTAAATCCAAAATATCAATAAAAATAGACCTAAGATTTACAGAAATTAGTATAACACTATTTTTATAAACTTGATCAAACAAGGGAAATAATTCAAACTTTGGATTTAAAAGTTCATGTTGTCCTTTAAATGGGTCACAGGTATTCATTGATAACAAAGATAGTTGTTCCATATACTTTCTCAAAATTTCTGTATGAGTAAAACAATATGCGTTTCTTTTTTTTTGTTGAGTATTTTAAACTGTTACAAATAAATGTTTGCAATTTCATTGCATAATCAATATGTGGCCTTTTTACACCAATGGAATATATATTTTCTGTTATAAAAAAAAAGTAACAACCCATGAAAATTAATTCGTTTTTTAATTAATAATTTCATAAATTCACAGCAGACGTATCAGGGTTATGGTATATGGAAGGATATAGAGATAACGAACAGTATTCAATTTCAAAGTCCATAAATAAAAAAAATATTTAAAAGCAAAAAAGTTGATGTCTATAATGTCGATTTACTTGGTTATATCTTTCAATATTTGAGAAATCTTGAGTAATTTTTCATTTAATCTTTCTCGAATTGCATAAAACATTTCACTTGTAGTCACAATATGAGTTATGAATGTATTATGTAATCAAATATGTAATATAAGATCAACAAAAATTATTTCCTTGCACAAAAAATTCTATATATATTTATGCATGAAAATCTAGGAATCAACATTTAACAGTATTGTGCATACTTTAAAAAAGAAATATGTTTTTTTTCTTTTATTGAGTTTCCTTATATTTCCTTCCTACATTATGTAACTAGATTTTATTTTTTGTGCAAAATTTTAATACAGTTCAAATGACATTGTAGAATCTGTTTATATATGTAGAAACAAAATAGTGTGCTAATTTTTTAGACAATAGATCGAGACCAAAATCTCCTCGAAAGCACACCATCAAACCTTCTAAAAGATAAAGCTTTTTATCAACATAGACAACAGCTTCTTTGAAAAATTGAAGAATTGTCCATGCTTTGTCATTAGTCATTTTCTAGCTAATTAAAAAATTGAAATTGAAAACAGATATTTCTTCACACAAATACTCCACGGATTGATATAAAAAGAACAAAATTTGCTGCTCAGTGACAATAAGTAATCGTTGAAGACTAAAATGTTCAGCAGTCTAAAAACAGAAAGTATGACCGGCCAACAGTTAATGCTCAATCCTGCAGAAAATCTTACCCACTTATGCTTTCAGAGATCCTTGTATGCTTTTCTCACATCTTATACTGTTAATTATAATGTTTTGGCGTGATAACATGTACTGATCGTCATCTTCACATTTAATAAGTCGCCCGTGAGGCCCAGTGGTTAGATCGTCTGATCTAGAGTTGAAAAGTTAGGAGTTGATCCTTACGTCGCAGTTTCAAATACCGCTGTGGGACGTGGACACAAGTCCTTCAGAAGAGACCGGATAAACTGAGGCCCTGTGTCGCAGTAGGTGCCGGTAAAAAAAGATCCCTCACTACTCAAAGGCCCTAAGTGCCCAGTATAGGAGTTTTTGCAGCTCTTGAGCGGCAAGTGCTGGCGTCTCCATATGAGTGAAGATTTCTCGAGAGGGTCGTTAAGCGATATACAATCAATTTTAATTACATGCCATTAACAAAAGATAATGATGATATATATTTGAAAAAAGCTATCAAAAAGTCTGCGTTTATTTTCAGGTATAGTGTTATTACAAGTTAAATGCAGAACATTCATAATGTAGATAAAAAAAGGACTTCATAACATTTCTAAGTAAACTTTGTTAATGAAAACAAAAACAGTGAAAAATTTAGAAAGTAAAAAAAAAATGTTAAAATGTCAAGCATTATTATTAATCACAAAATATTTTTCAAAGATAAAAGAAATCAATCAGCATAGAAAATCAAAATCTTGTACATCTTAGTAAATACAATTGTATTCATACATAAACACTATTCTATTCAATAAAAAATAAAAATAAAGTTAATGATGAAAGTCATCTTTACAATCTCAGAAAAAATCTTTGTGAGAATCAATATGTCCATGATCTTTCTTCAGTATGTCGTTACACAATGTAACCATTCTAGGCGATGGATGATTGTTTTCAAGTTCTTTCAAGTATTTTTGAAGACTATCCGGCTGTTAAAACAGTAGAAAAATCCACATTTAAATGTTTTTTTAAATATATTTAATAATGAACCACATATAGAAATACTATTTTATATGTACTGAACATTTAGTGTGAAATATACCTACCTCAAAAATATCTATGGCAAGTTCATCATAATCTTTTTCCTAAAAAAGTACACAAGATTTGTTATTTCTAAATAAATAAAGTCATGCCTTCTTTTCAAGAAACATATCTCACAATAAAACAAACCAAAAGAAAAACATACAAACACACAAGCTTACACTGAGGGTATCGAAGTTCGAAATTTTGTCCTGGTCGTCATCACAAGAAGTATCCATATTCTCTAAAGATGGATTTACTTCTGACGACACTGGATCAATCTATAACACATACTGTAACGTGTCGGACCTGAGCGGTCAGTAGGTCCGTGCTCGGATTACCGAGTTTTACTGGGGGTATGATTAATGCAATATATACAGAAAATGTGACACTTGCCTAGTGTCTTTAAATCAAGTGACCTAACTGTCTTTATGTTATATATATACAATAATACTGGCACCTGCCTGGTGCCTGGTGACAGTTGCCTGAATGAACAACTAACTAAACAAGTCAACAGACACCTGCCTGGTGTCTCCTGACTATAGCCCTTATCTGATGACACCTGTCTGGTGTCAATTGCTAACCAAGTTGTCTATGATCAAGCCAAGTGGTTTTAACACACTTACACAATACACTGCTCTACTGGTAACAGAGTATCCTATGTTACTCTCAGCAATAATCAAGTCAGAGACTTCAGCGACTTTGCAGCAATTATTATTCGTTAAATTGCACACGCTAAGCAGTATTTTCTCCAAATCGCATGTATCAAATTGCGTACTTCACAGTAGACAACGGACAGTTGGTTGAACAGCCCTTTGTATTACAACTTGATCAATAATCCTAAGTTTTCAGATATTATATAAGAAAAATACAACAAACTGCCTTTCTTTTGGCAATGCAACTATTATTTTCTTACCCAACATCATTTAACAATATTTCTTGTATATCTTTTATGTCAATTGACCAATTAATTACAATATTTACATTAATTATCTACTATTATACAAACAACTACCGGGAGGTAACTCCTCCAACCATTTCACTTCCCTCCCCTTAAGTACATGCGTCCCGCATGACCTTTACAACAAGACAAAATATAAAAGAACATAGGACAAAATGCTAACAAATGGCAATAACTTTGCACTCAAACTTGTTCCACAGACAAGTTGTCATGTTACAGTTTATAACATCTTCTCTCTCTTGACCGTGATTACTTTACGACCATTTTCCCTCATAATCGTTGTGGTCTTAATGGATTTGGTGTAAAGCACTGGTTCAGTCTGAACAGCAGCATCCACCACCTGTCTTGGCACAACATTAAAACGTTCCTCACGCCGTGGCACAACATTAGAAAGTTCCTCACGCCGTGGCACATCTTTAGAGAGTTCCTCAAGCCGTGGCGCTTTACTCTTGCTAGGGGTGTACACTGGAAGTGGCTGAGTTCTCTTTCTGATTGTAGGGTCTGGTACGTTTGAACACTCTGGTAGGCCAATCTGAGTTTGGGTACTGGTTGACGGACCTTCCATACTCTCATCTGGTACCTCCTCTCCTAAAGTTATGTCCGGATCCTGTCCCAGTGAACCTTCGTCATCCGAAGAGAGTTGCTCAGGCACTTCTTTCGACGAATGCTCCTCTGAGTCGTCTTTACATCCTGACTCGTCCCTACTGTGAGTTGCCTCAGCTTGTTCACGATGGTTTCTCTTGATGTGTCTCAGGTAGTTAGCCTTCTTGAGAGTAGAATAGTTGCATTTCTTGCAAAAATGTCTTGTTTCATAACACTCTGCCATGTGGTCTTTCCACGCAGTATGGGATGTTGTCTTGAAAGGACAAAATGGACACTTTTTGGTTTGTTCCCCACTAGTTATCTTTGTCTTTGCCATTTGCCTACAATGACAAAACAAAACCAAAATATAAACTTGAGTTACAACATGCAAACATATCTTGTTTGATAATATACATTTAATCTAACACATAATCTTGCAACCAGGTAGGCGGTCTCCTGATTCTTGCCCCCCCCCCCATTTATATCAAATTTGTCGTCAGTTGGAGGTGCTTCTGTGTCATTACTTTCATTGTCAGTGACACTTTTCTCTGTGTCTTGACCAGTGTCTTCCTGAGAACTATTGTCCTCTACAACCTCATCTCTTAACGTCTGGCTACGTTTGAGACGCAATCTGTCCACATGCACAATTTGTGGCTTTCCTCGTGGTCCACAGTTTACCTTGTAAGTAATGTCGGTCATTTTGTCCAAGGACCTCGTACGGACCACGCCAGTAGCTTGTAAACTTCGGCGACAATACTGCTTTCCGGACAGGGAAAAAGACATACACTTCGTTACCCTTTTCAAACTGTTGCCAGGATAACTTCTGGTCATGATATCGCTTTTGCCTGATCATGGCCATTTTTATATTTTCCCTTACATGTCTATGGGCATCTTCCATAGTCTCCTTGAGATGCCAAGCCCACTGATTAGTAGGGATGTATTTGACCGCATTGGGCATATCGTACATAATGTCAAGTGGGGTTGATACCTCCCGACCAAGCATCATGAAGTTGGGAGTGAACCCAGTCGTTTCGTGCACAGATGCTCGATACGCCATCATGACGTAAGGCAAATATCTATCCCAGTCTGAGTGGTGCTCGTTGACAAAGGCGCTTAGCATAGTGACAAGGGTCTTATTGAAGCGCTCGACCATCCCATCGCTCTGGGGATGGTACGGCGTGGTGCGAGTCTTCTTTATGTGCAGGACATGGCATACCTCTGAAAAGAGCTCACTCTCGTACTGGCGTCCTTGGTCTGAATGTATACTGGAAGGAACACCAAATCGCGATACTACCTCCTCAACTAAGATCTTGGCAACTGTTGCAGCCTCCATGTTTGGCATTGGGAAGCTTTCCGTCCATTTGGTGAAATAGTCGGATATAACAAGGATGTACTTGTTGCCATTGTCAGTCATGGGCAGTTCACCGAGGATATCGGTTGCGATTCTGTCCATTGGCATTCCACTCTCGACAATTGCCATGGGTGCTCTCTTTTTCTTCTGAGGACTCTTTCTCTTAGAGCACTTCTCGCAGCCTGCAATGTAGGCTCTTGTGTCTGCCTGAAGACCTGGCCAATAGTACTTTTGTCGGATGCGTGCCAGTGTCTTAGTCACACCTAAGTGAGCAGCTGTTTCAATATCATGACAGTATTGTAATACTGTCCTACGCTCACTGCTGGGTACTATTGCCTGTAGGCAAAATGACTTGCCAACGTCCTCTTGGTATCTTCTGTACAATATGTCATTCTCAATGAAAAGGCTTTCCCATTGTGACCACAGGGATCTTATGACATACCCAAGTCCACTTATTTCATGGTACAAAGGTCGACTCTTTGTTTGCAGCCAGCCTTTCACTAGTTTCAGGTCCCTGTCTTTGTCTTGAAGTTCTTGCATCTTGTGACAAGGCTCTATGCCTGGGCTGACTGGAAGAGCTGCATTGACACGTGTCACTGCTTTTGCATCTTGGACATTCTTATCATCTGGTGCTGATTTCTCCCAATCAGGGTCATAACCACATTGTCGACAAGGCACTCTGCTCAAGGCGTCAGCATTTCTATGCTGTATGCCAGGTCGATGTTGGATCTGAAACTTGTAGGTGCTCAGGGTCTCTAACCATCTGGCTAGCTGACCCTCAGGATTTTTGAACTTGAACAGCCACCTTAATGAACCATGATCACTGCGAATCAAGAACTCTTTGCCATAAAGGTAGTGTTTAAAATGCTTAACGAAATGCACGACAGCTAAAAGTTCTTTTCTTGTCACGCAGTATCTGCGTTCACATTTCGTTAGTGTCCTACTGGCATAGGCTATGACATGCTCCTTGCCATCTACATTTTGTGAGAGCACTGCCCCAATCGCTTGGTCACTAGCATCTGTGTCTAATATAAATGGAACAGTAAAATCCGGATGGGCTAGCACTGGGGACTGAACCAAATGGTTTTTCAGGCAATCAAATGCCTCTTGGCACTCTGTTGTCCATACAAATGGTTTCCCCTTCTCTGTTAGAGCATGCAGACATTTGGCAATGGCAGAGAAGTTTTGGATAAATCTCCGATAGTATCCACACAAGCCCAAAAATGACCTAAGCTCTGTGACATTAGCTGGTATTGGCCATTCTTTAACAACTGCTATCTTGTTCGGGTCTGTGGATACCCCTTGCTCCGAAACAACATGTCCGAGATATGTCACTCTTCGTGCAAAGAGACAGCATTTCTTGGCCTTAAGCTTTAGGTTTGCAGTTCTCAGTCTTTCAAAGACTTTTTCCAAATTGTCAAGCATTTGTTCAAATGTTTTCCCAGTGACAATTATGTCGTCTAGGTATATCATACAAATGTCCCATTGCAATCCGGCAAGGACGCTCTCCATGAGGCGTTCGAAAGTTGCCGGGGCACAACTCAAGCCAAACGGCATAACGTTGAATTCGAACAAGCCTCGTCTTGAGGTAAAGGCGGTCTTTGGTTTGTCTGCAGATGCCATTTCAACTTGCCAGTAGCCTGAGCAGAGGTCGAGTGTCGAAAACCAGGTAGACCCAGACAACTGGTCAAGTGACTCGTCAATCCTCGGGAGAGGGTATGCATCTTGTATAGTGCAACTGTTAAGGCGACGATAGTCAACACAGAACCTATACGTCCCATCTTTCTTCCTGACCAACACTATAGGTGAGGACCATGGACTGTTGGAGGGCTGTATGACACCTTTTTCAAGCATGTCGTCTATATTTTTGTCGACTTCATCTGTCAGATGAGCTGGTACCCTTCGTGGTCTTTGTTTAATAGGTCTATTGTCACCTGTGTCGATATGATGCTTGACTATTCCAGTCCTGCCAAAGTCCAAGCTATTTTCTGCAAACAAGCTGGTATATTTTAACAGAAAGTCTTCTGCCTGCTTGAACTGTGTAGGAGTCATGTTGTCCTTACTCTTATGAAGTAGATCAGCTAGATCCTTGCGCAACACTCTGGTAGCTGATGATTTCGTATTAACCATTGTGTCTTTCACTGTGTCTATCTCAGCAAGTTGTCCAATTACGGTCCCAGAGTACACTACCTTTGACTCTTGTTCAACATTCATTAGTCTAACTGGCACAGTTTCTTGGGGATTTACCACTGTTCTCGCAGTTAGTGTGCTCTGCTGATTGTTGTAATTGTCAACTGGTTCAATGATACTCTCACAGTATGGCAGACTTAAACCCTCTGGAACGCACACTTTACCGGCAACAATTATCTCACTCCTTGGCGGAATGCTAACTGTCTTAGCTGCTGTAATTCTAAAACATCCAAGTGAACCTTCAATTGTCATTCTCTTATCATGACCATTGACATCCAGAACTTCGTTGCTAATATCGACTTTGCAGTGATTTCTTTTCATAAAGTCTAGGCCCAATATACCATCTGCCTTTAAGTTAGCAACTACTGCCTCATTGTGATATGTCAACTGGTCAATGCCAATATTGAATTCCGACTTCCCATGAACAGACAGAGCAGTGCCATTGGCCGACATGATGGTCTGCTGTACCTCATGAAGCTTCGGTCTCACTGATGCAGGTAACTTTCTGTACAGTGTCTCAGACACAAGGGTAACAGTAGCACCAGTGTCTACTAGAAACTTAGCTTTTACCCCTTGAACATTTACATCAATGTACAACCCACACTCCTCTATAGATGAACCGAGGCCTACGGACACCTGTGGTCCTGATGCTCTTTTCCCATCTCCTTTGTCCTGTTTCATAGATTCTTTACCAGACCTGTCATCTGACTGCTTTTGCCTTCTCTTCAACTGAGGGCAGTTACGCCTGATGTGTCCTGGCTTTTTGCATTCATAGCATCTTATCTCCTGCTTTCTGCCACTTGCCCCTGTGTCTTTGTACCTGTTGTCGTAAGGTACTCTCTGGTTAGAGACCTTAAGCTCCCTGAGCTCTTCAGTTATGCTTTTCATGTTCTCTTCAACAGATTTCATCCAACTAGCAAGTTGGCCACTATTACATTTGTCAGTGCCAGGTTGTTCTTCAACAAAGGCTGTTCTCAAATGACCTTTGAGTTCTCTGTCTCTCTTTTCTACTCTGTTGTATGCCTCCAGTTCCACAGCAAGGCTAATTGCTTCATTCAAATTGGCAGGGCGTGACTGCTTGATTCTTATGCGGATATCAGAATCAATCAACGCATCGATGAATTGATCCTTTGCCAGTGTCTCACGAACTTCACCTGGCGCAGTTGGATAAGCCAAATTGGTCAATCGTCTGATGCTCTGGCCTAATTCAGAGAGTGTCTCTGTTGATTTTTGTCTCCTCTCTTTAAGTTGTACCCGGTAAAGGTCCGTTTGGTTTGGAGGAGAAAACCTTTCTCGCAGAGACCTTACAAGTGTCTCATAATGTTGGCCTCTGTCAGTTGGTAAATCGCCAAGGACAGCCTGAGCTTGGCCACGTAGTGACAGGGCTAGAAACAATCCCTTCTTTTCTTCATTCCAACCATTCACATTGGCACAAGCCTCAAAGTGACACTTGTAGTCCAGCCAAGAGCTTGAACCATCGTATGTAGCTGGCTTGACTGTGAGCTTTCTCTCTCTATCGTCTCTTTCCGTCTGACGATATGTGTCAGGGACATATGGATCAGGGGATGACTGTCGCGTGTGTGTCCTTTTGGCCAAGTTGTCTGATAACCAGCTGTCATACTGTTTCTCTGCAACATGGCGCTCATCGGCAAATCGGACTTTTGGTTTTGTTCCGTCATATGGACGCCTGGATGGTGTGTCCCTTATCATGTCTGTTTGTTTATCCCAATGACTCACTGCATTTTTCTTTCCTTGTGATCTATTTTCAGGGATGTCTCTCAATGTTCTGTCATAATCAAATGAGTCATCTGACCGACGAGTTGCAAGCCCACTGTCACGGCTTGACACTTGGTCATGTTCCTTAGTAATGGGTGTAGACTGGTCAAGTCGATACCTCCTTAGCTTTTCTTCCATCCTATCTAAGGATTCCCTAAGACTATCTTCAATTGATTTATTACGTTCAGCCATACCTCCAGTAAAATCCCGACGCTGCCACCACTTTTGTAACGTGTCGGACCTGAGCGGTCAGTAGGTCCGTGCTCGGATTACCGAGTTTTACTGGGGGTATGATTAATGCAAAATATACAGATAATGTGACACTTGCCTAGTGTCTTTAAATCAAGTGACCTAACTGCCTTTATGTTTATATATGTACAATAATACTGGCACCTGCCTGGTGCCTTGTGACAGTTGCCTGAATGAACAACTAACTAAACAAGTCAACAGACACCTGCCTGGTGTCTCCTGACTATAGCCCTTATCTGATGACACCTGCCTGGTGTCAATTGCTAACCAAGTTGTCTATGATCAAGCCAAGTGGTTTTAACACACTTACACAATACACTGCTCTACTGGTAACAGAGTATCCTATGTTACTCTCAGCAATAATCAAGTCAGAGACTTCAGCGACTTTGCAGCAATTATTATTCGTTAAATTGCACACGCTAAGCAGTATTTTCTCCAAATCGCATGTATCAAATTGCGTACTTCACAGTAGACAACGGACAGTTGGTTGAACAGCCCTTTGTATTACAACTTGATCAATAATCCTAAGTTTTCAGATATTATATAAGAAAAATACAACAAACTGCCTTTCTTTTGGCAATGCAACTATTATTTTCTTACCCAACATCATTTAACAATATTTCTTGTATATCTTTTATGTCAATTGACCAATTAATTACAATATTTACATTAATTATCTACTATTATACAAACAACTACCGGGAGGTAACTCCTCCAACCATTTCAATACAAAGAAAATTATAAATATGTATAGTTAACTCAAGTCATTTACATTTTCATATGTAAACCTTTATTACAAAATTTTATTGTTTGTTACTTTATCTCCAATTGGAGAATTTTTCAATCATAGAACGATGAATCGCTTCAAATCAAAAGTATTGTTCGGCACTGAAGGTGTTTGCACCCTCACAGTTTAATGGTTAAAAGTATAAAAGCTGCATTTATTTTATTTAATATACTTTAAATTTCCCAATTATAACAAAAAAATGTAAACGTAACCATATTATTTATTATGTGAAACATATAAATAAACAGAAGTGTATGTCATCATTAAAAAATCGCACATTTTTTGTAAACAGTATTATGAAAAACATGTAACAACTGGTTTAAATGCATAATTCTGATGCTGAATGTTCCTAAATACTTCCTACTTATAAAATACTTTTGAATTGTGAATATCAGGGAAACTATTTTACATTAGAAGTACAATAAAGCAAATGCCTGAATGAAGAGGCCTGAGAAGGAGTTATTGTCCTTGTTAACATTTCTTTAAAGATTGAATAATTGATTAAATAAAGAAAAATGCATTTTTAAAATTCTTTAACTTGACAAATCTTTACACCTATTGTAAAGCATTCTTGCAAAAGATATTTTTCTATTAGGTATGAACTTTAACTAATGATAGTTTTTTGCTAAAAACCTGTGACATCATAGGAGGTTGAAATTACCTTAAGCCATCGAGACCTGAATGTTTTTGTCATGCCGTGACACCGCATCTCATTTTTTAACTTTAACTTTTGGTGACGGGAACCTCGCGAACGATCAGTCGCCAACCTATGTTTGTCGGAAGCGAGTAATAAACTCTTAACCTCTCACTCACAAAAGGGGCGCCATATACTAAGCTAACGTGATCGACAAAATAAAATAAATCAAAGTATTGAAATAGTTTTGAAAGACTGGACCAATAATAAATTTTAATGCTTTTATAAATTTTATTTCATAATTGCACTGTGAAATTTTGTTATTTTTTTAACAGAACAGAGATCTTATACTAACTTAAATTTCTTAGACATTCGATGTTTTAAAAAAAGATCTTTAATATCTATCTTTACAAACTCTGCTATACATCTATCAATAATAACTGGTAACTCTTTTTCATATTAGCCGATTTAAACAGAGTCCGAATTGATAAGGAATTTATGGAAGTAAACAGTTCATGACATGGACGCAGAATGTAAAAATACTCAGCCGATTAGTTTATATACAAGTGTGGTTTAATATAGTGTTTACATGTTTAATTTCTACAAAATGTTTCTTTAATCTGTATAAAAAATCTTTGTAACACTCTCTAAAGTTTGATCCATCCTGTGTATTGTTTTATTAAAAGCAATCTCTGCACTCTTTTGTTAGCGTAAATTCAGTTTGTGTTCTACGCACGGTTTGCGTTTTAAGGCCACGGCTTCGAAAAAGTGGCGTCATGTGTCCCTGTTAAATAACCAAATTGTCAAAATGTCTATACATGTGCAGTTTTTAACACCTGTTTTAAACGTTTAAAAATATATAGTTGAATGGTTAGATATGGTTGAATGACAGAGTATTTGTTATATTTCTTTAAAATAAGTTATACATGTAATTATTCTTAAATACCCCCAAATTATACTTTGAAGAGATTTGCTGCAAAGGGTCACAATCTGATGAAAGGAAAGGGATTTCAGATGAAAAAGATGAAAAAGTACTCAGGTCAATTTCTTTTGGGTGTGTTTGTATCCGTTGGTCATCAGATGATTTATAGTCAATGTTTTCCATGCAGTTGAGTTTATCTCCGTTAGATTGTTTCTTACTTTGCTCTTGACATAATTCCAAATTCTTTAAAAACAATGTTTAGAGGAAAATTATATTCAGTGCCTGTGCGAAAGATTGCTTTACTTATTAAGTATTTGTTTGTCTTATGTATGTAAGAATTTTTGAACGGTGATAAGGGTGATTACATTCAATGCCCATCCGTTTATCCTCAACGTTAAACAATTAATATCTTTTTACAGGTAGTGTTTCTTTTGATCATATCACGAGTCCAGTTAGAGTTAATGTTTCCGTGTTTCCGTGGAAATTTAATAAGCAGACAGAAAAAATTATTGAGCTTAAAATACAAAGTCCAACATTAATTGAGATTCAAATTAGAAGTAAGGGTAGCCTTTAGTAGCTTAAAGAAGTGCTCGCTTTCGACCGTCGTCTTCTTTTTCTCTTAAAATGAAATATAGTTTCCAATCATTTTTTATCTAAATTAAGCCTGAGGAACTTTAATGTCTCATGACAGTTCATTTATATTTCAGTTAACTTGTAATTCACAAAAAAAACCAATACGGATTGTTTGAATATAAATACCAAAAATGTGACATTATCAAGGAGGATAATTTATTTTTAATTGAGATAAATAATCACTAATTTGCATTCTCGATGTCTCAATGATTACTTAAAAGTTATTTTTCGGGGTGTTCTGTTATGATGGATTTATCTAGTTTGTATAGATAATCCTGAAAAAAAAACTCCCATGCATGTATACGTACCTGCGAAGAATGCAGAATTTCCATACTTTGATTCTCACCATATCGGTGATTTGAAGCCCTGGTACATTCTGATTTTTTAGCTCCTGGTTCAAGACTTTCTTTATCCTGTGATGTTGTACAGGAAAGCATTTCATCATTTGATTCCTCATCTGCTTGCTTAAATTGGCATTGCTGCCCGGCATTGACATTCCATTTGTTTGACTTCAAATAATCCAAAAACTGATCAACATAGGTTGATTTCTAAAATAGAAAAAGGTCAAAACAGATTGTATTAAAAGCTTTAATGTATATACATTGTTCAGAATAATAGTGTTACATTGGTAAGAAAGATACCAGTAAAATATCAGAGCAATGTTTCATTATCTCTTCCGAGGGGACATCTACTTCCTTGGAATATTCTTGTAGCAGGGGAATAAGTTTCGCCTGAAGCATCCAAATCTCTAATGCTTTTTTGCTCTCTTTTTGCTCTCGTTTTTCATTCAAATTGTTATAGTTTTTTAACAATTCCTCCCAATCACTTGGTAAGGGTTTTTGACTCTTGTTCTGTAGGAGAAATACCATTTTGTTGAAAATGTTTTCCTCGCCCGATTTTAAGTTTGAAATATTTCCAAACTCAATTTTTGGTTCGTACTCATACCATCCTGGAGGAGAATCTTTATATGGATTCTTAGGCATAGTTTGGTTGTTTGATTTATAAATCATTTCTAGTAGCATGGTCTGTGTAAATCTTCGGAATTTGCGAAGAATCTGAGATCTTGCAGATGCCGAACCGATTTCATTTGGATATTGATTCATCCTGATAGAAATCGTTGTATAGATAGCATGTCTGATAAAACAAAATATCCGAAACTTGTCTAAATATTTTAGCTTTCGAATTTCCATATCTGTTATATGCGTTTTATCTCTCCAAGGTAGAACATACGTCCTTTGATCGTCTGATGTTCCTCTTATAATCACAAACAGGACATTGCCTAAATTTAAAGTTTTACTTTTTAGCACCAATTCTCTGTAATTATCAAAATTGGTTGACCACGCATAGTTACAGATTTGCGTTTTATCTCTCCAAGGTAGAACATACGTCCTTTGATCGTCTGATGTTCCTCTCATAATCACAAACAGGACATTGCCTAAATTTAAAGTTTTACTTTTTAGCACCAATTCTCTGTAATTATCAAAATTGGTTGACCACGCATAGTTACAGATTTGCAAAGCAAAGCAATGTTTCCTTATCTCTTCTGATGGGACATCGACTTCCTTAGAAAATTCTTGTAGCAGGGGAATAAGTTTAGCCTGAAGTATCCAAATCTCTAATGCGTTTTTGCTCTCATATTGCTCTCTTTTTTCATTCAAATTGTTAACGGATTCTAAAATAAAGGGTACTTGACTCTTGTTCCGTAGGCGTAAAAAAACGTCCCAAACCGATTCGAAGTGTGGTTTGTAATCATACCATCCTGGAAGAGAATCTTTATATGGATTCTTAGGCATAGTTTGGTTGGTTGATTTATAAATCATTTCTGGTAGCATGTTCTGTGTAAATCTTCGGAATTTGCCAAGAATCTGAGATCTTGCAGATGCTGCACCGATTTCATTTGGATATTGATCCATCCTTATATTAATCATGGTATGAATCCGCTCTGTTACTTTGATGCAGTTTGGGTTTTTGAAGTTTTGAAAGTATTTCAGACTTTGAATTTTCATATCGGTAATATGCGCTTTATGTCTCCAAGGTAGAACATAAGTCCCTTGATCGTCTGATGTTCTTCTCATGATCACAAACAGGAAATTGCCTAGATTCAAAGTTTTACTTTTTAGCACCAATTCTCTGTAATTATCAAAATTGGTTGACCACGCATAGTTAAAGATTTAGATTATTTAACATAATTTTAAACAGATGTAAAATCTGTAATAGTTTTTGAAAAGTAACCTTGTTTATCAATTGGAAATAGGATTTCTCAATTTTGTAAATCTTGAAATTTCTGTACTTTTCATGAAAAAACCATCTCCAAAAATGAAAAGAGATATCTGAATTTGTGATCATTGTTTTAATCCAATACAAGTGATTTTAAAAAACAGTGTTTACTGTACAATTGTAATTTACTACATGTAAGCGATCATGTAATATATTGCAAAATATCAAACATATTGCAAACTTAACTCAGTTTTAAAAGATTTTAAACAAAAAAAGTCGATATTTGATTAAATTAAAAAATTAAAAAGATAAATGGGCAAATGACATGTCTTAAGAGGAATTCAAAGGTGAATATTCATTTTTTCTGCATATTGAAGCTGTTTAGCTTCAGAATTACTTGTCATGGATTACTTTCTATGCAGGCATTGTAGTTGCATATGTAATTTGTTGAGAAAATGTAACCAAGTGTGCAGTTTATTGGCTTCTATTTATGTTACCCGACATTCCTATATTTTGAAAATTGTAACACCTAAAACAACTATAGGGGACATTTGTCCTGACTCTGCTTGTGTGGAATACATATATCATATTCTAAATGTAATGCAAATTTCCAGTGCAAAAAAGAGAGAAAATCATTACTTGAATTTTTTTCTCCGAAAAGTTTATAGCATCAACAGGTCTGAGGGGCCCGTGTTCTTTGAGGATATACTTATTTTATCTTCAAAAGAAATAGAGGTTCAGGTGGCGCCACTTATCTTATTCTTCAAAATAAAGAACAGTTAACTCTTAGTCAATTAAATAACAGTCAATCTTGCATTATGAATCAATGGCATGTTTTTCAACAAAAACAAATAAAAGGTTAAAATTTTATATAATGATAGATAAATCAGGATATTAGAAAACCATATAACTAATTTTGTAAACTTTCAATTAATTGATCAATTTCAAACTTCTTTTTCGATGGTTATCGTTAATTACCTGTCTAACTGTTTAAGAGATTATTATAACCAAACTGATTTTTCTGTACCCTTCTTATATATAAAGCAATTTATAAATTTTGATAAAGAAAATTTAAACATAAGTTTAATGGAATTTGTTTATTTATCTTTCGAATAATCCTCAAACACTACACTTTTTATTTTCTTTTTTTACATTTAGATATCACGTAAAATACTTAGTGAACATGTCAGATTATCGATTTCATTGATTATTGCTATTCAAAATAATTATTTTATATTACTATTTATTATTTATTTATTCTATCTATTTACTTAAATTTTTTTGCAGCATTGTTAAGGTTTGAGGGCGGGGCCTAATTTATACGGGAAAAGTTTACTGTGACGTCACACAAAAATATGACTTTTATGTATTTCTCATAATACCTGAAAATTAAATTATTTGCAACTTTTAACTGTATTAGCATAATAAACAGCAATAAAACATATCAATGCATTAAAAAACGTTGCTAGGTAAATCCCTTGTAGCTGGTTTTTAACAAAGCACTGATTGCGATGAACTTGTATATACGACGTCATTTTGGTAAACATGACGTATTTCATGTACTGTGAGAGGCAGATTGAGGAATTTTTTAACAATGAAAAATGCGTTTTATAATAAAACGGAATATTATTTACAGATTTTAAATAGTCGATTAATACCAATGTAGATCCTTTGTTAAGTGCGATTATTCATTAACTTTCAAGAGAATGTATTTTATTAATTATGTCGTGTTTTTATGTACAGGTTACGTATATTTTAAATAGAGATGCACCATAAAATCGTAATTTCGCAAGAGCATACACTGCATAGATCTTAACCTTTTTTTGAATATAGATATAGGATATTATCCTAAACTGGAAAAGTGCTGCTGCTCTCTTTAAATCGAAGGCGTGATTTCATAAGTACACAAAATATTTGGTAAAAGTCTAAAAAAAAATTGACATTGGCCTATTTACTTGAAAATTTTGCTATTAAAAATTCTATTCAAAGCAGCAGCACTTTTCAGAAACTACAAAGTATGCAGAAGCAATTAATAGCTTGAATTTTTAATTTCAATTAGGGTAGGCCCTTGCGATATTGAAATTTGTTATTGACCTACATTCAGTACACGTACTATGCATTCATCACGTGACTGTCCATCGATGGGCCTAAACTTCATACACTACACAGTGGGTAATACTATGCTATTTCCATACGTATTTAAGTTCTGCGATAATATAACAGCTTAATTGAAATAAATTCAATTTAAAATAAAATTCCCCTTTTTGCACATATATTTTCCATTGATTTCTCATAGTAGGCCTTAACAGTGCTGCGTTATAAAGGAAAGCATATTTTGCCTGTAAGGTTTCTTTCTGTATTTTGTTTTGTTCATGATTTAATGAGAAGAAAATATTAAAGTATAATATTCTTTCTTTTTTATTTCTCTTGATAGTGATAAAAAATAAAAATAAAACAAAATACCCAGATATATTAAGGAAAAACAAAAATTCTAGACATAGAATTTCAAATCGCCACTTACAATCGATAGCTTAATGTTTGAACTTTTATTTAAATATATTCCGGTGTTTGCACGAGGCGTTTTAAAATTACATGTACTTATGTTATCACCTAAACTTGGAGGATAAACCATCCCATAATGCAACGCGGTCTCCTCATATGGTAAAAAAATCGACCGCCATATTGAAATAGCTATCCTCCAAAAAAGAGGCCTTCCGGAACTGATCAATATCTAATGGGAATCATTGCTCTAAACATGACAAATATAGAAAAAATGTCTGCAATTGTTCAAAAGTCAATCCTTTCCATAGAATTTATTAGACTGAAAAAAACCGTAGCCAAATATTTTGCACTGTAAATGTCTATCTCAAACGTTCATATCATTATTTGTCACTTTGCATGAGATGATGCTTTTAATAAACAATGAATTCAAAAATACGACGTGCATATTTGATTTCGTAGTGTAAAAATTTTCTATAAATTGTGTGCATGTTTCTATATAAAAAAAAATATGTAGTATTGGTATTGGTATTTAGTATTTAGTCCTTTCATTTAAAAAAACATTCATTGAAAGAAAAATGTATGGTGACGTCACTTTATAATTTTGATGACTTAATAAGTCTGACAATGACGTCAGATTATATAATGTTTAGCATAAGTCGCGTTTTTTATCCATTTGAGACGATTGTAAAAGTAATTCCAAAGTCTTATTTGAAGAAAAAAATTTCAAAGAAAATTTCAATTTGCTAAGAGATAGAGTAGGGCTATGATACGGTTTATCAGCAATTCCATCATTCAATGTATGGTTTGTTTGCGAGCACGGTTTATGTCCAGTTATGCTCTCATCAACATTCATTTAAGAAGTTAATTTACATGATACGGCTGGATTTTCTTTTTTTTTATATAGAAGGATATGGAAATAACGAACAGTATTCAATCTCAACGTCCATTAAACAAATATACAAAATAAGAGCAGAGCAAACACGGACCTCCGAAACATCAGAGGTGGGATCAGGTGCCATGGAGGAGTGAGCATCCCCTGCCGACCGGTCACACCCGCCGTGTGCTCGTTGTCATAATCAGGAAATAACGGAAAAAACCGTGGTCAATTCAGTGTATAAATAATGGACTAACAATTGGTATGAAAAACGTCAGTCAGCATTTCATTCAATGATAAATTGTATTTGCTGACAAGGTCATTGTATCGACCATAGAATTTACGAAATGATGACTTTAAACGAGACTGTTGATATTCTTGTTTCATCAACTTGCTTGTCAATAATTTACCTCGTTTAAGAAACTGTTCATACGTAGAGCATGCTCTTGCGTATCGAATCAACTGAGATATAAATACTCCGTATGCAGGTGATGAAGGTATATTGCTACATAAGTAAGGGAAGTTGACGATAGAAAAGTTAAAGTCATCACGTTTATCATATAGCTTGGTTGTTAGATTACCATTAGTGTCTTTTTCAAGTAAAATATCCACGTATGAAGCAGAAGTGTCGGACTCTGTGGTATCTTTTATCTCAAGCTCAACAGGATATATCGTGTCGATGTAGGAATGGAAATTATCATTATTAATTGACAATACGTCGTCGATATATCTAAATGTCGAGTTGAAGGCCACAGCTCTCCATTGTTTGAAATAAAACATGTCCGGTATTAAACTGAATTTTTTTAATGCAGTTTTCATCAAATACATTTTGAGTAACAGGACCGTTTACGAATAAAATGTACCAAATCTTGTCCCTGACTTGATTCTGTGCGTATTTTTTTTTTTATAAAAATTCAATTTCAGCGCCCCAAATCTCACTACTGCTTTTGACTTTTGAATCCAAAAAATGAATTCAAATTACACATACATGTAAACTCTTATTTATTATCCATGCATTTAAATTTGCGAATTTGCAAATATGTGGAGGTACGGTTAGGTTAAAACTGCGCTGCCGCCATTTTGGATATTACGAAAAAATATGGGGCACACTAAACTTATCTTCTCTTGAGCCTTCATTGATCCCACAAATCTGGTTTAAACACCTTACGAATTTATGCCATCAAATTTTGTAATACGATCGCCTATTTTTCTTTGATTGTCAACTTTGTCTTTTTCTCACAGTTAGATCTTTTTATGCAATATTTTGAGCGAGATTCGATAAAATCACGCGATGTTTGACACTCGGTTAAACCATTTTAGAACGAGATGATCTCCGAAATAGAACACCATATAAATGATTGTAGTCTACGTAAACATTCCACCAACTTGCATTTGCTTCCGTTAGCTTTAGTCTGAGTAATAAGCAAAAGTTGTCTTGAAAATTTTAATTTCATCAATTGTGTCTTTTTTACGTCATTTTTATGGTCAGTATGCTAAACATTCTATATTCTATATTCGTCATTTTAGAACTTATTGCGTCATAAAGATTTAAACGTGACTTTGCAATATGTATATATTTTTTATGATCTTTCCAATGATCATATCAAACACAATAATTTCCGTAAACGGTTCATTTTTCAATAAATAGTTGTCAGAACTTTTGAAATGCCCCTCGTATAGTAAAAAAGAACTTGCAATTGTTTTATGGTTAGAATGTGGTTAATCCTAGGAATGCATCCTACAGTTATAACAAACAAAAGGCCCATGGGCCTAATAGATCACCTGAGCATCATGCAACAACGATTGACTTTGGTTCATGTTTCAAAGTAGATGTCATGGCATTCACAATTCGACTAATCGTTAATATTCAGAAAAAATCAGTATAGTGCCACTACCACACATGAACCCCTGACTCTTGGTCCAAACATTTCACAATTTTGGAAAAGGCACCCTTGCTTATCAAAAATATTTTATTAATACAAAGGAGAAGATTTCAATCAATTTATTCATTTCCAGTATATAAGTAGATTCCCCCCTTTATGGTACCCATGACCCAGGGGCGTTGAAATTTACAATTCAGAAAGAATAGTCCTTGTGCAGTATAGCTATATAGGTAGTTCATCTGCTTAATACTCAGGAGCAGAGAAGAAGATTTTCAAACAATTTCTGCATTTACTCTATATACATGTATCCAGTAGAGCCCAGTCCTTACAACAGAACCCCTGACCCTGGGGTCATACAATTTACAAAGGTATTCTTCCACATCATAACTATGTACTGAATTAGTTTATATAATACTCAGGAATAGAGAAGATTTTTAAAAAAATAATCAATTTTCACTATATAATCGATAGTGCCCCGCCCTAACACCAGAAGTCCTGACCCTGGGGCCATAAAAAATCACAATTGTGCTAGAGGCATTCTTGCTCATCATAAACTATATACTTAGTTATTTTATTTAATACTCAGGAACAGAGAAGAAGATTTTCAAAGAATTAATGTATTTTCATTATATAATCAATAGAGACCCGCCCAGATTCCCTTACCTTGGGCCATACATATAAAATTTTGAAAGAAGCATTCTTGCTCATCATAACTTTATACTTAGTTTATTTGTTGAATACCCAGGAGCAGAGAAGATTTTCAAACAAATTCTACATTTTCAATATGAAAACTTTTTTTTACTATATTGAATACTTTGACACTTTGATTTACTATAGTGAACACTTTAACACTTTGATTAACTATTGTGATAACTATGGAAACTTAATTTGATTTAATATGGAAAAAGTTTGATTTACTATAGTAAACACTTTAAAAAATTTGATTTACGATGGAGATAAATATGACGCTTTAGTGATCACTTTGAAAACTTTGATTTACTACAGTGAAGATTTTGACACTATAAGGAACACTTTTAAAACGTTGATTTACTATAATTAACTATATATTTACTTGCCGGAGTTATATTTCTAATCAACTCAGTGAGGTCATTATTTAAGGAAGCTATAAACAGCATACTAAGGAGCTCAACTTGAAGGGGTAGATTTATGCTGTAAAAGTGATCTGCCCTTAGAAGTCGGATTGAGAAAAAATGGTTGTTTGCCATTTATTACACAATTTGAAGTAAATTAAAATATTCTTACTAACATAAAATGTATCATAGACTCAGAATAAGTAATTGCATTAATATTCACATTAATATCTTATATGATATGGTTTGCTAATTAAGATACATTGTAGTTGATAATTTTGATATAGACGCAAAAAAAAGTCACACGCAAAAATACTTGTCTTAAATGTACTACTTTGTAGCCTTTTGTTCTATAATATGTAGCAAATAAGTATAAATCAATCGTTTGTATTTTGGATCGCAGTATAGTGTTTCATGTTCATTTATTATAAAAACATATAATTTAGAAATTATGATGCAATCTTATAAATTGTGGTAAACTGTAATAGACGGTGGTTATTTTTGTATTATGCTAGAAAGAAGGGTTTATGTATGTATATGATCAGATATGAATAGATATTTCATTTGTGGGTACTCTGATTATGTAATATTGAAATAACAGAGTTTTGTTAGTTCAATTTTTTGAATTTTTACTTTAAAAAGAAAATAATACATCTATTTTTAATATATGAAAGGTAAAATGAAGATGTTTTTGGCATATTGCCAATTTTATGGCTTTTCATTTTATTATAGTAAACATTTGTTTTTATTTGCCTGTGAATTTTTAAAAAATATTTTCACTAATTTTGACAAGTACCTTCAGACGAAATATGTAAAACATTGTGAAAGTTATGTTTACCTTTTTTCATCCCAAAATGTTGTAATTTTTACCGTTTTTAATAAATTTCGAAAAAAATATATTGTTTGACGCAGTTTTAATTTAAAGAAAATTCTTAGACATATTAAAGTCGAACATTGAAATTGTTTATGTTGTAGTTTTCTTTAAAACGATTAACATAGTTCAAATCCTAAACATGAGTTCATCACAGAGGTGTATACAAGTGGATTTTAGCAAGACTGCCACACATCGGTAGGAAATTTTGTATTCCGCTTACCATGGTAACAAAAGATGTCCAGAAAATAATGTGTCATACATAGAAATTACATCCTTGAAAGATACCATATAACAAGTTTGAAGTAAATCTGAGATATGTCATGGCCAACTTTTTTTTAACCTGTTTGATTTTTACAGAGAACTTGTTTTAAGAATTGTAGTCTGTGAAGACCATTACGGTCTCTAAAAAAATTCAACATTTCTGATGAGAAACAAAAAGAAATAAGTATTTTACTTACATAGCATTAAGATAAAGAACGCCATCAGTACAGGTAGGTATTTCCAGGCTAAAAGTAAATAATACATATGGATTTGAATACTTTTGAATTTTCAAAGAAAGGAGGACTTTTCCATCCTAACCAACATTGTCTCCCCATGTTAAAAGATTAAAGTATGCATATCAGAACAGAAACCAAAATAAAAAATTTTTACTAATATTTACTCTCTGAATACATGTAACTATGACTTTTATCTCGTACATAACATCAAACTTGTCAATCGGATAAATAAATAGAAGGTGAAAAAACGATTTGGATTAAATTGAATGGTTGTATTAGATTAGATTTTAAGGATATTACCGTCTGTTGTTTATCGATCCCTTTTTTTTAAATTACAAAATTACAATGTGTTGTTTAAAAGACGCGTTAAACCTAGCGAAAAGAAGTAATCTTTTTATTGCGAAAATAAACTATGCACATAAAATTTGCAAGACAACACATGATTTGTTCGACGAACTACAATACAAAGAGATAGAGGTTTAAATGCATTTCTAAAAAAAAAATTTAGAAATTATCTCTCTACAACAATATGTTAAGGTAAGGTAACTAAATTAAATAATTTCATAAGATAGCTAAATATAGATTACAATTTACAAATCACCAAGATGTTGATTTAGCAACCAAGAACACTGTTCAGTAATCAAACACATACTAGTATATAATTGTGCAGCATACCCCCCCCAACCCAATAGAACATGAATTATGAACTTTAAGGCATATAATCGGGTTGATATGCAAGTTATACCTGACATCATTTTCCAAGACTGGCTGCTCTTTACACATAAGTTTAAGTGTTGGTGGACGGTGATTGATGTGGGAGAAGTTATTCAGAATTAAATATTCTATTTAAATATACTGAATGGATTAAGAAACGCATATTTAACTTTAAAGTTTAATTAAAACAATTATTTTAAATATGTTTTCCACCATTATTATCATACATTTTAATGTATCTTTAATCAACAAGTTACCAAATTTTTGTGTAATTTTGAGTGATAGTTCCTGAGATATTGATATCAATTTGTCGACACCCCCAAAAATTAAACTAAAACTTCTCATAATTTCCTTTTCGCAACAGTAACAAACTGGATTTTCCTGTGCATTGAGTTCAACAAAGCACTTATCTTTTTCAGAACATTATTATTCAACCCTTCAGACGGTAGTCTTATTGGCATGGCTGAGATAAGCTTATTATTCCAAAGCCAACAAATCCCCCACCCAATCGAATACGAATTTTCGATTTAGGATAGAATGTACAGATCCCAGCAGGTTTGGTAAACGTGGATGTTTGTAAAAGAAAGTTTCGACAAGCACTAACTAATTTTTTTTGTGTAAAAATGCTAAAAAAAAATGCAAACGACGCGTATGTGCGCGTTTGAGAGTAAAATCGACGTAAAGTGGCCAAGCTCGCGGCCCAAATTAGAAAAGAGAGTTTCTGTCAACATTGTCAATTTAGGATGAAAAAAATTAGTATGATTGTCTGCTGTATGAATATCAGTTTCGGTGATAATGCCTTGGCAATAACCGAGGTGGCATGATGAAAAGCTCTATCTTGTTGTGACGTTTTTACGCACCAACGTCGCAGTCAAGGTTGGTTGTAAACATTTTTAGTTAACTCTCTGACAACCAAAAAAACTTTTACTTGGTTGAAAAGTTGAAAACAATCTGTAAAGCAGCATGTTTTTGCCTTTTTATTCACTTATGCAATATTGAATTCAATTATTAAACCCACAGTAGCTTCCGTCAGCAATACCACGATTGTAAGAAATTTATACTGACTGCAAATATGCAAAAACGATTTCTACAACTCTAATGCATCGTGTGGCACTACAAAATTTTATCACAAAATTATCATCATCAACATGCACGTGCTTTTGACTTTTTATGATTTCCCCTAAGTGACGCCATACATTTCATGGTTGAGTACTTTTGACTAGTAATTTTATTTCAAAGTAACCAAAATACACCTCTGATTAATTTTCCTATTTTTCGGCCACAGAATCAAAGATTTTTCCAACATTATGTTCTTATGTGTTTCTTTTTCCTTTCAGTATATTAAAACGAATCTTAATCAGAATATTCCCTATATATGAATTTCCCTCTATAAATCACAATATACATAATTTTACTTTCATAAAGTGAATCTGTAGAAATATATATGTTTTTCATACTTAATATACTATACTGTATAAAGTGGCTAATCATTTACTATCGAAAAAAAAAAAAACGACAGGTCTTTTTTTTCTAACATCGAATTTTACCTACTGCATAAAAACGTACTCTACACAGTTCGGTTTTTTAAAAAAAATATTTTTAAAGTGAAATAAATCTTTGAATATAGAGCTAATGTACAATTCGAAAATAGCCGAACTCTGCAGAATGTAGATGATGCATGTGTCTGGTTTCAATTTATATTTTATGCAGCCATTATTTGCTTGAGGAATATTTACTTGATGAATTTATAACGTTTAAAAGGGTATTGTTTTGTCCAATTTTCATCCGAATATAAGTTTTCAAAACATTCTCTACTATCGTTTCCATCATCTAGACGCATGCCATTTTCACACATAGAGGTTTGATAATAAAAACGACTAATTCAATTTCCATTGTTTACTTTAATAATTTCTTGGGCGACAATTGACATTTACATCAATGTTTTCTTGATAAGAAAGCAAAAGAGATGATTATGCAAACATGCAACTTTTTATGTCAATATGTGATATAATTATGTTGATGTGGGAGTTTGTTTTGTAAATATGCCAAAAATGTATGTTGACTTACAACTTATATTCTAGCATGTTGATAGCTATATCCCTCATGTTGATATAAAACTCGATTGTTCACATAAATGGGTAGCTTTTCGTCATAAATATTGTGCATGTGAACTTATTTAATTATCCTGATGATATCATTGTCGCATATATTCTTAATGAACTTGTTTTTTTGATAAAGTAAGGTCTATATGTATAAAATTATCCAGCATGTTGGCATAAATAAGTCGCATACCACATAATTATGTTGCATCTTGCTTGTATGATGTCAAGTTCTTGTTACAAAAAGAAAATTTACTATTATTAAAGTCACAATTTCTAACAAGAAAGGTAACTTGCATGTTAACACAATCTTTTAAAGTCATGAACACATAATTATCTTGCATATTGACGCCCTCTTGCATGTTGACACAATTTATCGTGCATTAGGGGCGAAGAAAAAAAAACCCCACTACATCTTCGAGAATCATCATTAAAAACTTAAAGCTGAACACGACTCGTAAATAGGCATAGGCTGGTTATGTTGCATTACTTTTCCTTACAGTTTTACAATATTTTTTATTGCAGTTACGTGTGTCTGTGTTTGTTTGTATACTGTACTGAAATGTACAATTCTACTTGTAAGTTTCCTTGATTTCCTGCATTATTACCGTCTTCCTTGGAAGACGGTATTGTATAGTTGAAGTTTTTTACAGTCTTCGGACTATGCACTTCCTCTCTTTTGTGATTGGTAGAAATTGCATGATGAGAAAATTTTCAATTATTTCATTGGTTGAAATGCTGTTCAAGGCAAGGGAGATAACTTTCTGATGATCTAATTTTCGTACGACTTAACAATTTTGCAAGATTTCCAATCTTAAAAAAATGACAAAACGAACAGCAAAATCAGCAGTTGTTAATTCTTAATAACATGGTATTTTTTTTAGCAATAAATAAAAAGGTGTCTTTAATTTCATTAGAAATAAAATTTGATTTTTATAGCTTGCAGGCTTTACAATTTGTAATTATTCTTTTCCCCTTTCTTGTTTGAAGAAGTAAGTGGAATCAGCCGAGGTTTGCCGAAAGTTCTCGGCCAGTCAAAGTTTACGGAGATGACCGAGCGACAACCGTGGTAGAGCTAATGCCAGTAAAAGGCTAATGTAGAAATACAAAATTCAAAAGAATTATACGGCTTGATAGGTGTAGATCAGTTTACTGTTTAAGATTGTTGCTAAAGACGGGAAGCTTTTTTTTAAAAAGCTCCACTTGGTATCATATTATTATTGTCGCTACCGAGTGCAGTATAAATTACGTCCGTCTACACCGGTGTCGGCTGATTACACTGAACAGTGACAAAGTCTTGCCTTTTATATAGGTATCTGCAGGTACAGTGATTTTCCAAACAAAATGGCGGACACATTCTTTTTACAAATCATATTCAGCTTTTAAATTGTTCAACCTTCACAAGAATTATTAGTTATTAAAAATTTAAGGCGATCGTGGTGTATTGAATGGTTGGTGACATGAATAAGCGTTACACACGCCAGCACCATGTATTGTTTTTATTTTTATAACGATATTCATCAAGTTGTCTGTGCATAAGCGGCTAAAAGACAAAACCCGAAGTACACACACCGTAGGTGTAATTAGTAGACAAGAAAACATGCACTGAAACTTATGCATTTTATTATTTTGACACATTTTTGTTTAAATTAACATATAAAAACGTAATGATAATTCAATCGCTTGAATAGAATTCTTATTAAATTTGAATATTGTCATCTTGCACTTTATATCATTACGCCCAGCAGAGAAAACATTACGCCTTAAAATATTTGTAATTTTGACTGATTCAAAAATATTTAATAAATTAAAACAAACTTACAAAGCTTACGAGGGTTCTTTTCTTTTTCTTCAGTCTTGCATTCATGCAACACATCTACATGCGAATCATGTGACTGTAAATTCAATAAATGTTCCTGTTATCATTTTTATCTAATTTTTTTTCCCAGTATATTATAATTTCTTCATATTTACTTAAGAGTAATAATGAAAAAAAAACATAAAAATTAATGCGTCAACATTGTTACAATTTCCAATAGTCTCCAATCTGACAATATATTTTTTATATACATTGAAATATATCTAAAGAGCACTTTCCCCTAACTTACAATTCGAAGCCAATTTTTGAACACCACTGAGGCACTGATACCCTAGATAAGTATAAAAAATAAGAGTAAGTAAGAAAAGCATGATTATAAAGAATGCAAAAAACTTAAGGAGTTGTATCAGGGAAAAAAAAGGATTTCAATACCTAAGAAATATACATTTCTTAAAAAAAAATTAATATAGTTTTACTTTGAAGATGCCCACCGAAGACATCGAAAACATAAATTGAACTGAGTAATTTTTACTTTATTATTCTTGAGGGATTGTGTATGTATGTATGTTACCGTTATGTTTGCGTTTAAATCTGGATAATTTTGTCGCTATTTCTTTTTTAATTGCAAGTCATTAACACAGACAAAATGATATCCCTACCAATGTTCCAAATTGGCAATCCATATCCGATAGATAACTCCCGAAGGATAAAGTTCCAAAAGTTTGACTTTTCATTCTGTCCTTCTTGAATATAAGTCCATATCCAGGTACTTCCATTTTAATTCCTGAAGGTTTTAAACAGAAACTTAATTAATCATGGAAATATTATATTTTTAAAATTGGAAGATATCCACAATATTTCTTATTTTACTAATGTTGATCCGATCCTCCTCCACGTCTCAAAATAAAAAAAAAAAGCATTCAGATAACTTAAGTTTATTTTACTTTTCATTATGGTTTAGTGTGGTTTTGTCACTCTTAATTTTTTTTTATCCTACTCTCTCGTAAAATTCTTATCCTTTACTGTAGACCAAGTTCATTTCTCGGTGTCCTGATCTGACTCTACACTACCTATAAACGCAAGATTCGATAACAGTCGTACAGCAAAAAACTACGGGGAGCAACAAGAGTCTTAATGATAATTTAAGGTAGACCCTATTTCTACACCTTGGTATCAAATTGATATTTTTGTTTTATTTGAATACCTTGAATATGTCACAAAATAATAAAAACACCCATAAAAAACATATCTTTGCAGGATAATATTCATACAACATGTCTCATAGCATACACCTAAAATTCAAAAGCAAAAATCAAACAAGGACTTTGACATCATATGCCATACTTGATTTTTTTTACCTATCGATTATTCATAAACTTGGTAGAAATACATCCCCCCCCCCAAAAAAAAAAAAACGAAATACCAAAACTGTCGGAAATGCTGAGCATAATAACTGAACCTTTATAAATAAAGTACACAATTTCAAATCAGTCCTTCTATAAGCTGTTGATTGAAGAAAAGAAATGTTTTTTGAACACGTTTACCCCCATTTTTGAATACTGGAATCGTTTTTTTTTTAATCATTCCTTGCAAAATTGAAAAAAAATAATAAAAAGATGGTAGTTATAAAATCTATAAAAATAAATTTTCAAGTTAGTTTGTATAAAAATAAAAAAAATAAGAAGCTTTAGGTTCATAAAGGCAACTATATAATACCGAATCAAGTACATTGCAAAAAAGATACATAAGGAAGCCCTCTTGAATATTGAATTGTTTTAAACAGATGTTACCTTGTTCACAACTAGCCGCGCTTCAATGCGTGGACAATGAGGTCAACACAGAATATGTTTTCGTGGGGTCAAATTTTCAAGGTTTGATGAAAAAAATTGATTTGTGGGAATTTGAATTCAATTTGTGGTTGCAAAGGTTTAGTATATAGTATTGCAGATGGAATTTTACAATTCTTGGTTTTATAAATTCTTGGGTCTTTCCATACCGCTTACTTTGGACAGTTTGCCCCCTAAACAACTTGCCTTTTGTACAATCCACCCTCTTGAATTTGAACTTTCCAGGTATTGGCAAAAATCTGCCCATACAGCATCGACCGGACACAACCTTAGATCAGATCGAACCCAAGCGGGTCAAAAGTTCGCTTCAAGGGTTCGATTGGGGTCTGCTTCGGCTTTACTTTAAAAAATTTTGGGACCGGTCTGGGTGCGCCCTGGGTGCTCTCAGGGTTTGCTCCGCGTTCGCTCGGGGTCAGCTCTGGGTCCACTAGAGCGAAACCGGTGTTTGCTTTCTGGGATCGCTTTACGCATTGATACGTGAAGCAGACCACGCTTGAATCTCGCCGCCAGTAAGCCCCGCCGCTTATATATTCCAATACAGTAATGGGATTGTGGAATAGATTGTTCTTATTTTGGCGGCGATCGATACATGTACACTGATTATGTATACAGTGTCATTATGGAGAACCTTGATAAATTTTCAAAAATTCAACTGTACATTCGACGTAGATTTATAATGATATCCTTGATTTCTACACCCTCGGAATTCCCGAAAAATTCCAAGTTAAATGTAATTTATAGCAGGCTATAAGGGCTTTATTTTCTTTATTATAACCCGAAAACAAAAACAGAAGAGGAAGAAAAGGTGTAGAATTGATTTTCAATATATCAAATGGTGTACAAATGAAACTGACGAAAGCATCTTAACAAAATACCTTTCAAATTCAAGCGTCTTATAATTTAAAAAGTAATTCTTATTCCTTATGTTTTGCTTAACCGCAGTTAAAATGTTTGACAAACACGTGAATTATCAAATCAGTCTATAAATTTATCTATTGTGCAATATATTTAGATTTAATTATAGTAGTTACACATTGAAAGTTCTTAGTAAATATTTACAGGACATTTTCTTTAAAAAGAGATTATATTAGACATTTTTTACGCTCAGAATTATGGAGGAGTTTGATTTAATCAGAATGAAAAAAATAAGGACAAATAATAATTATTCTCCTGATAAGAATATATTGATTTATTATACCTCAGTTGATTTTTTCTATATAAAAATAAGACGAATAAACATGCTATTTTTTCTAAAAAGTCTCTACCGTGAAATAGTTTTTGTGCTATTTGCCCATGGTGATTAGTCCTCAAACTATTCAACGGCAGCAATCGATTTCCCTCGTTTTTCATCTCTGAAAACTTCTGATTTTAGATGGATTGTGACGTATATATTATGACGTAACAAAAGTAAAGTCAGCATCGGTATAATAAAACACCTATTTATACTGACTATTCGGACAATAGCAAATTCATCGTCCCCCTCGACAGCAAACTATTTCCCTCAGCTGCGCCTCGGGAAATAGTTTGCTGTCTTGGGGAACGATAAACTTGCTATATTGTCCTCATAGCCAGTAAAGAGGTGTATAATATCCCCCTACTTCACATACACATACACATATTAATGAAAAAAAAAATATTAAAAAACATTTCTAAATATTAATTATGAATATATACAGGAAAATCAAGACTGAAAAAGAGATTTTTGTTATAATCTCTCCTCAATAGACCAGGTTTCAATAAAGCCTGGATGTTTTTTTCCTTAAATTTCTACGATTCGTCTTCCCAATTCTGTACTCTTGTTTTCTATAAGCCTGGCTTATTTCTCAAATAATATACATGACGATGTACAAGTAAATTGCATTTTTCCATGTAATATTAAGAAGATCAATAATATTGATGTGAATTTTGATAAATTTGAAGGAACATGTATATTGAGACAATGAAAATAAAATAATTGAATAATGAGCAGGTACGCTTGTATATATTCAAAGACCTGTTATTTTTCTTTTCTCCTCTCTTTTTCAGTAAAAATTGTAATGCTAATTATTATATTCTTTTTATCTTTTACGCATTGACTAATATATTTACACAATTGAAAATTTTTATTGGACTTTAAATACTGGTATAAAACATAATGAAAATAATTTAATAGGTAAATACCCATGTAACATTCGACCCGGAAAGTTAAAATATATAATTCATTAATTACTTCAATAATAAAACAAAGAAATTAATAATTATAATATACAGCCAGCAGAATAGAATTAAATGAATATAAAATTGTTTTTAAATTATCATTATAGATTTACACTGTGCATTCACACGCTTTGTTTGCATATACAATATTTGGATTTATATCGAAAAAAAAATCACATATTCGATCTTTTATCAAAATTGATAGATTATATAAAATGCCAATGTAATTGGTCAACGCGCTGATTTGTAAATCGCTTATCTTATTGCCTAATCTCTAAAGAAATACTGATCGAGCGTTCGCTTTGTAAGACCGCTACTGAATTTGGGGTTCGCTCTCTGGGACCCAGGATTGCTCTGGGTTTGCTTAGGGTTCGATCGGGATTCGCTCCGGGTTTGCTTTCGGTAAGGTTGTGTCCTGTCTGTACTGTAGTATTTATTTATTTTAGCGTATTCAAGATCCGTTTCTACTCACTGCGTAAATACATGAACATGTACCTGTTCCTTCATTTTTTCATTAAGAGTATGAAAAATCACTAATATTTATCGATTTGTACTGTTAAAGTCATATTAAATCGCATGATTGTATAATAACACCAATCACATGATGCAAAGTTCATACATGCAATATAACTGGTCTTACATATATACGACAGGGACCTATCCATTTTGAAGATTAAGATAACTTTTCCTACATTAATTTTACATTTGCTTAGTTAACATAACTTAGTTAAATCTAAACTACCTGAGTATGCTACCATATTTTTATGACAAATAAACGCTTTGTTGTTGTTCCTGAGAGAAAAGACATTTGCAGCTACATATTACATTTTTATACATTCTCGTGAAAAATTTGATGGACTTTTGATGACCTAACCTTCACCCTAGGGTCAATATTCGAAAAGAAAATTAATTTCTTCATCATGAGTATCATAATGATATTACTAATTATGTCATTTCTTGAGGAATATACATGTATTTTTAAACAAAACCTCCTGTTTATTTTTATGTAAACTGTGATGCGTTGTGGCGCCTCCTTAACTCGAAATAAACGACTAGAACAAGCTTGGATGTACCCTATGTAATGAAACGTTCTAATAACTCTAATCCTTTCTAGGAATTTCAAAGTAATTCTTGAGATGTTTTCTTTCGAAGTCTTTATATTTTGACTAAATTTTGTTTAATTTTCAATTAAAAAGAAAGAGTTAACCTTTATTTAAGCAAACAAGAGTCCCTTGGTTAATTGAAAACAGTTCAGTTGTTCTGGAAAAGAGGATGGCTTTGTTGAA